TCCATTTCAAAAGGAAGCGTAATATTTTCCTGTTTGCCCATTCAGATCCACTAAACCTCTACATCTGTCCTTGAGAATCTGTTATTTGCTCCATTAACAGAGTTGACATCATAACCAATTCTAAAGAGCCGGTAGTATGAGGTCATCCCTGGTGATGGGTTAGCGGTGTTCCTGTGCTCTAAGTCAGCAAGGACTCATCTTGTGTGCACATCAACTGTACAGTCTCTGGGTTTTCTATTTTGTGCCTGAGAGAAATGTTTTAGTCCAAATGAATTCAAGACTTACTGCATGTTTGCTTTGTCCCCATGTTAAGTGTTTTACATCCACTATTTCAAAGTAGTAGAGTGATCAAAGTAATAACTGCAAACAGACCTGGGTTCAAACTCCAACTCTGTCACTACCTGAGCAACTTCCTTACCCCCCTTCTGTTCCTCCTCCTTCATCTCTGAAAAGGAGCTACTACCATGGGGCTTGGATGTGAGGGGTAAAATGTACTCAAGAACTGGCAGTTCTCTTAAATCTGCATACCTGTACCCTAATGGGGGCAAATACTTTCCTTGGTAAAGAGGAAATGAGCTAAGTCTCACCTCACCATACCTTGACAAACACAAGTGCTTGTACAGAGACCCTTCAGGCAGAGGTTGAAAGAGACCTAACTGACCCACTTTCAGAATACATTCAAAGTAGCCGGGGGTGGGGGTGGGTATGAACCACTTGGGACATCTATCTTTCCTTTACAGACTGACGGAAGGAAGGGCTTTGTTTTAGGTGCCAGGACTACCAAGACAAATAGCATTATCCCCAGGTAACTTACTGTACAGGCCACTCATAAACTGTAGATATTTCTCACCAAGTAAGTACTTTATAGTGTGAAAAAACCTACCTGTGGAAGACAGAGAGGACTCGTGTCATACATGTTGATGCCCCTGTTAAGGAGCTCTGGTGTCATAGACCTTGGAGAAATGCATTGCTAACCCAAAGGATGGTCTCCATGGGCAGCTGGAATCAGCCAGTGGCTTCAGCAGCAAAAGATCTCCTCCTGGGAGATATATGCCCTAGAAACCCAAAGGAGGGTCAGGCACATGTGAGCTGGAAATGAATTTGAGTTTTTTATGTTGTTGTTGTTGTTGTTATGTGCCATTGAGTCGCTTCCTACTCATAGCGACCCTCTGTACAACAGCCCTAAACTCCGCTCTGTCCTGTGCCAGTTGCACCGTCTCCGATACACGCATCCTGATTACCCAAGTCACTGAATCAATCCACCTCCTAGAGGGTCTTCTCCTCCTGCGCTGTCCCTCTACCCTACCAAGCATGACATCCCTCTCCAAGGACCAGTCCCTCCTTACAACATGTCCAAAGTATGTTAGATGGAGCCTCAGAATCCTTGCCTCCAAGGAGCAACCCTGTTTGACCCTTTCCAGGATGAATCTGTTTGTTTTCGTAGCAGTCCATGGTATCCTCAATACTCTTCTCCAGCACCACAGCTCAAAGGCATCAATTCTCCTTCTATCCTCCTTAGTCATTGTCCAACTCTCTGATGCATAACAAGTGATTGCAAAGACCATGGCCTGTGTCAGACACACCTTAGTCTCCAGAGAGACACCATTGCTCTTCAGTACTTTGGAGAGGTCCCTAACAGCAGACTTTCCCATGGCAATACGACTTTTTATTTCCTGGTTACTGGTGCCAAGAGTGTTGACTGTGGAGCCAAGCAAATTAAAGCCGTGAACAATCTCAGTCTCTTCACCATCCATCCTGATGCTCCCAATTGGTCCAGTAGTGAGAATCTTTGTCTTCTTGACATTGAGCCTCAATCCATACTGGAGGCTGCAGTCCTTGACCCTCTGCAGCAGGTGCTTCAGGTCCTCCTCAATTTCAGCAAGCAGGGTTGTGTGATCTGCATATCGCAGATTGTTGAGTTTTTTGATAGGATGTATTTTTTTTTCAATGAATAAGAAAGACTAAAGAAGAATTGATGACTTTGAATATGTTGTTGAATCTGCCAAAAGAACAAATCTGTCTTGGAAGACTGAATAGACAGAATATTTAGACATGTTAGCAGAAAGGCTCAGTCCCTGGAGAAGGATAACATACCTGGAAAGGTTGAATCAGCAAAAAAGAAGACATGTTTTTTTTTGCTTGTTTTATCATTCAGGCTTTGTTTTATTAACAATTCAGTAATTTTTTTAAATTCAAACGATGTTTTTTAACACCTGTGAAACATGAGGAAGGGTGTTTGACCTTAGTTCATTTCTTTTTAAAATGAAATTTTTATTTTATATGGGTTTACTTACAAAGTTTGTATACATTGTTTTTCATACTGGATCTTTCCCATTTCCGTCACCCCCACCTCTCCCTCCATCCATCAAATTATGTGACCCTATGATTACCATTCCCCCCATCCTCACCCCTCTGTTCTACCTCCATCTTGGATCCTCATACATAAAACTACAAATCAAAACTACATTGAGATACCATCTCACTTCAGTAGCAGTGGCAAAGTTTAACAGGACATCAAGTAATAAATGTTGGAGAGGATGTGGTGAGAATAGGAATTCTAATACAGTTGATTGGATTGTAAAATGTTACAACAATTCTGGAAGGTAGTCTGGTATTTACTGAAAAAGCTGAGCATAGAAATTCCATATGACCCAGCAGGGTGAAGTCTCTCTCAGGGAGGAGTGATAGGGAATGGCAAAGGACACACTGACAAAGGAGATTAATCAGAACTGACTTTGACAAGCACTGTGGCAATTGGACAATTAAAACAGACATTCGGATGGCGGGGGAAGAAGAACGAACTGAGGAGGAGGGTGGAGAGAATGGTGCAGCAATGAAGGAATGAAAACCCAAAATCCCTGTAAATGTTCATTAAATCTAATAAAATTTAATAATAATAAAAAAAAAAGAAATTCCATATGACCCAGCTGTTCCACTGCTTGGAATATATCCTAAGAAAATAAGAATTGAGGCACAAAGACTTGTACACCAATGCTCATAGTGTTATTCACCATCACAAGAACATGGAAAAAGCCCAAAATGTCAAACCACAATCAAATGAATTGAGAAATCATGGTATATTCACACGATGGACTACTATGCAGCACACAGGAGCAATGATTTTGAAAATCACTACCTAACTTGGGAGGGACTGGAGAGAATTATGCTAAATGAACTAACTCCATCCCATATGGGCAGATACTGTGTAAGACAATTATTGTAGAAAAAGAAAGATAACTAGTAAAAAAGGAAGGCTCTTAATGATATTGATGCAGTGATACAGTGGGTTTAAGCACATGTGAAAATGTTGCCTGATCAGATATTTCCAATCAGTTGTGCATAAGGTTGCTGTGAGCTGAAGTCAAAGTTGTCTAACAATACTAGATGTATGTAACCATTAAAAATAGTGTTTGTGAGCAATGTCCATGCTTACTATATAAAGGATGCCCGTTTAAAGACTTAGCTGTGCCTGATCCAAGCCGTGGTCTTTACAGTTACTTTATATGCATCTGAAAGTTGGATAGTAAATAATGGTAACCAAAGAAGAATTGATGTCTTCAAATTGTGATGCTAGAGAAGAGTACTGCATATCCTGTGGATTGCCAAAAAGAACAAATAAGTCTTGGGGTTAGTGTAACCAGAGCGTCTCTTTGAAGCAAGGATGGTGAAGCTTCTCACATACTTTGGGCATATTGTCAGGAGGGGTTAGTCTTGAAAAAAAGATCTCATGCTGGGAAAGGTGGAAGGTCAGAGAAAGAAAAGAAAGCCCTCAACAAGATGACTGATAGAGAAATGTAACAATGGGCTCAAGCATACCAGAGATAGTAAGGCAAGGTAGCACAGGGCAAAGTTCAGATCTGTAGTTCTTAAAGTTGCTCTGGTAAGATAGCAACTATAGTTGTCTGTGATTAATATAATTCAGGTGACTGTAAATTTATCTCATGGCTTTTTATTTTCCATTTAACAAGTCAGTAAACCCATTATTAAAAGAATTAAGGAAAAATGTGTTTTTTTTTTTTTTAGTGGATTTGAGGATTTCTGGGATTTGGTGGTGGCTTGATGGTATGCATAGACTTTGTTGTTATTGTTGTAGGACAGAGAAATCATAAAGAGGTCATAGTTGGGCTTTTTGGCCCAGGAATACAATTAAAATATTATGAAATAATCAAAAGCATTCTTGACTTTAGTTTAACAGTGGGTTGTTAGGTCAACAGGGACTTACGTTGGTGTAACAAGACCGTGAAATCAGACCACTTCGTTCTGACCACAACTTTGACTGTGTGACCTCAAATAAGACATTTGACTTTTAGGATCTTATTACCCAAAGTGTGGGTCCTGGTCCAGCATCAGTGTCAACTCCTGAGAATATGTTAAAAATGGAGATTCTGGGCTTCAGCCCAGATTTAAACACATCTACAGCTTTCAGAACCCCAGGTGATGAGTATAAACATTAATGTTTATAAAAGCCTGATCTCTGAGCCTCTTTCCTTCTTGATCAAATGATAGTACCTCCCATCTAAGTACCTCACAGTGTTTTCTAAAGCAGACCAGCTGAAACAACATACTGCACTTACGCACTAGAAACTGCAAAGAGGGCTTTGAACCAGCTCATTCTGATTCACCTTCCTGGTGAAAGTTCATCTGTCCACCCCAGATGTACGTATTCAGATTCGACATTTTAGCAAGGCCTTATGTATACATAAGAAGTGCCTTGTTAAGGGTGAGCTTGTTAAACTGTAGATTCTGAGTCTGTGTTATCAGAAAGGCAGGTTCTGGAGTGGAAAGGCAGATTCTGGCAAAGTGTGGACATGGAATAAGCCAGATCAAATGCAAAGCATTCCAATGGCCACACACTGCACCAATGCCGAGAAAGAAAAGATCTCACAACATGAAAGACCGTAATTGTGTTAGTGTACAAAGTGCTTCTCGATTAATAGTAATCACTGTCATAAGATTGAACTTGTCATCTTTGCTCACAATACTCTCATCATATTTTCCAGATTATGACCTTTCAAAGATGAGAGACTTCATCACCCAACAAGCTGATGCTTATGTGGAGAAAGGTATCCTTGATAAAGAAGAGGCGGATGCCATCAAGCGCATATACAGTAGCCTGTGAAATCGGCAAAGAAGCCCAGGGTCTTCTGACTTTCTCAGAAAACATAATATAGCTTTTAAAACATTTCTGTGATTAAAGTTATCTTGACCTAGGGATTATTAGAAAGTGCTAAATTGCTAGTGATTAACCTCTTAGAAATGGTTGAAACGTATAGCTTTCTTGACATAGAGACTCTCTGAAAAGTAAAATCGTATGTAAACTCAGATGTTGTATCTAGAATCTTTATTTCCTCATAAATTTACATTTATAATTAGAGATGCATTTCTTTGGAAAAGCCTCTTACTAGGTCTGAATGTACAAGTAAGCCTTCTTCCTTCTGCCTCATATACGCGAGTGTTTCCTGAAGAATGAAGGGTGTTCCGGTTTCAAAGTGAGACACCAAATCACCTGCTAGACTACAATATGTCTGTTAAGAGATGTTCTTTCCACTCTCCCCCTCTGGGAGTTGAATTGCATTTATATTTCCTCAAAGCCTCTATTTCTTAAAGGAGAGCCAACAGCATTTTCAGCTACTCCTTTTAGCAGACTCTTTATCAGGCCCCATGGAGCCCAAAAGGAACCTGAAAAGTGGGCATAGCTTAATTTTCAGTTTCTCTGCACTTTTAATATTTCCTATTAGTGAATTTTCAGATGCTCAGTCTGCGTAGAAAGAGGGCTACCTATGTACTTTCCAAGAAGATAAATGAGTTAAAGAACACTACATCAAGCAAGGTGCAAATTTATGTCAAATCTCCAATTATCTAAACCAGATTGGAATCAAATGTGTTTTTTTGTTTTTTTATGTTTCTTATTAGTGAGTCAAGAGGGCCAGACAATTGGATGGAAATCATAAAAATCACTTCTTTCTCCATGAACCAAGGCTGGTAGATGATTTCCTCCAGAGAAAAAGGTCAATGAACTCTGGGTCCTGCAGTATCTTTCAGCCACTGTAACTAACACAGTTGGGGAAACTAAGTGGCCTGAGGTCCTCCTAAAATATTCTTTGTCAATGTTAAAAAATGATGAGATGACATGGATTGATATAGTAACTGGGGTAATGAGGGTTGGTGTGTCAGAATTAGTGAGATTGGCTCAGGACAGCAAAGGGTTCAGAGCTGCTATACATCACAGGCGACTCAATCAATAACATTCTATGGCAGGTTTGGAAGCAGGAGTGGCATCCACTTCCTAAATAACATGTCTCCAGAAACTCTATGAACTTTGATAAATGTTGATAGTTGTAGAGGGGCTTCAGGCCTTTTGTTCACAGGTTCGCTGTGAGTCGTGCTCAATTCGAAGGCAATCAACAACAACAATGTTAAAAAAAGTTTTAAAAATACATTATTCAATCTAAGTCACATAACTATTTTCCTCTTTCAGTTTAAATCCTAAAAATAACAATAATTTATATATTAGTCCTCTGGTACGCTGTACTGAATACTCCTAGTACTCCAAGGGAGCTCTGGTGGCCTAGTCATAAGGAGTCATGATGCCAACCCAAGGGTATGCGATTCAAATCCATCATCTGCTCCTTGGGACAAAGATGGGCAGTCTGTCATGTGATTTCTAGTCTCTGAAACCTGTGGAAGGGTTTGTTAATGAGTCAGCTGTGACTTGATGGTGCAAAACAACCCCACCGGCAGTGTTTTCATTCTGCTGTACATAGGTCACTATGATGGAAACGACTCAACAGTACCTAGCAACAACAAAACTGGTGAGGTCTGGGAACTCTACGAGGCTGCTAGCAGGAGTAGGAAACAGCTGCTGCTCCTCTCCTCTCTCAAGCTCAAAAAAACAACTATAAAACCAAAACATGAACGCACTGTGTTGTCGGGAAGTCAGTACCCTTTGGAGAGTGATAACCCAAAACCACTGACACTGAGTAGATAGATTCTGACTCACAGGGACCTTCCATCGAGTCCCCAAGACAGTATATCTTTCCCACAGAACATCTGGGAGACTTGAATTGCTGATCTTTATGGCACATTGTGACATCTGGACTCCTGTATCGTGAGAGATGTGGTGGTGTTATATGCTATCAAGTCAGAATCGACCCATAGCTGACCCTCCAGCAGGCTTTCACTGGCTGTAAATCACACTGGAGGAGACTGCCTATCTTACTTCCCAGGAGCAGCTGGTGGATTCCAACTGCTGCCTATCTTTGAGTTGGCAGCACAACTCTTTATCTACTAAGGCCACCAGAGGGCATTAAAAACCCCTTTATCCAAACTACAAAGGCTGTTTTGATGAGGTCATTTCTGACACATGACCAACTATTTGCTCACATACTACAGTCCCAACAAGCTGCAACTACATTAGAACTGATTGTGCCTGAATTATTTAATCTGTTCACTTTCTGTAATTTATATGTTATCATTGTTGTGTGTCACAATCAAGGCAGAACCAACCCATAGATGACCCTCTGGCAGGTTTTCAGAGGCAATTAATCTCATGGGAGGTGATTGGTTTCCCATCCTTCTCCCATGGAGAAGCTGGTAGACTCAAACATCATGCTTTCAGGGATTGCAGCACAGATCCTTGCCACTAGGCCATCAGGAATGTTGTATTTCTGAAAATGAAAATCTAGAAAGTTTATGGTAGCTTTCAAAAACTCTGGTGGTGTGGGTGTGGTCTGTAGAGAGTTACTGCTTTGAGTTCAGAGACCACACCTCTCTAGTGGTTCAAATCCACTTGCCATTCAGCAGAACAGGCATCTTCTTCCATGTGATTTACAGCCTTGGAAACCCAATGAAATGTCAGCTATGACTTGGCTCCAACTTAACAGCAATTAGTATGGTAATTTTCAAAGAGCATTGACACTCACTGGCTCCTGTCAATAACTGAGACAAAAGATCACTAATTCCTGTTTTATAAATGAGAAAACTGGTTCACAAAGAGAACAATATGCTGAAAATCATGCTGCAGTATGTACATTAAGCAGAGGCTAGAATGTAAGTTTGTCAGTTCTTCTCTCTACAGTAGGGGCTATGTAGTCCCGCCCTGTCCCACTGCTGTCACGAAACATTCAAAGCTATTAAAAGCATGGAGAGACATCTAAGCTAGAAATTGCTAAAACAGACTGCCTTATGCAAAAACAAAAATGAGGATTCAAAATAGTTTTCAGCTTATGGTCTTAATTTTAAATTTTATTTATATTACATCTTTTGAATAATGTTTTTAGATTAATATCTTTGGGGTTACTTCAAATGTGCCATAATTTGTTAAACAATATGATAATTCTGGTTTTAAAAAAGTCTCTGCCTCCACTGAAGCATGGCCTTTTTCTTAATTCTCCCTTTCCCCCCCAATATCCTCTACCACCTCCCCTCTGAGTCAGCTACAGTGACTGCCTTACTACAAGTGCAGTGACCCTATGAACAGTATGTCTAAACTTGCCCTATCCCATGCCATGCCCATGATCTCTGCAGTGCCCAAGGCCATTGTGGCACTCACTGTGTCAATCCAATTTGTTGAGGGTCCTTCTTTCTCTGGCCCTCCACCTTTCCCGCCATGATGTCCTTTTCCAAGGACTGCCTATTCCTGACCACATGCCCAAAATATGCAAGGCAAAATTTCACCATCCTTAGAAGTGCCCTGGTTGCACTTAGAAAACAAATTGTTCTTTTGAAAATCCATAGTATATTCAATACTCTTCCCCAATATCACAATTCAGAGGCTCTACTCTCCGCCCGTGAAATTAATTACTTCTGAAAACCCGCTGGAGACTTAGCACTGGGTCAGTTTTGACTCAGTGATACACAACAACTCTTTGATCTTCCTTAATCATTGCCCAACTTCCAGATACATGTTGTGGTGGTGGTGGTGGTGATGTGCCAGAGTCACTTGCAACTCATAACAACCCCATGTACAATAGACCTGAAACCTGCTCTATCCTGTATCCTGTGTCAACTTTACTGTCCCTGACACATCTACCCTCATTACCCCAAGTCACTGAACCAATCCATCTCATTGAAGGTCTTCTTCCCATGAACAGTCCTTCCACCCTCCCAAGCATGACATAATTTTCCAAGGACTGGTTCCTCCTTGCAATATGTCCAAAGTATGTCAGATAAAGCTTCAGAATCCTTGCCTCCAACAAGCAGTCTGGTTTCACTCTCTCCAGGATGTATCTGTCTGTCCTTCTAGCAGTCCATGGTCCACTACAGCTCAAAGGTATCAATTCTCTATCATCCCTAGTCATTGTCCAGCTCTCTGATATATATAGCAAGCAACTACAAAGACTATGGCCTGGATCAGGGGCACCATAGTTTCCTGACTAACATCATTGCTCTTCTGTACTCTGGAGCAATTTAAAATACCATGGCTTAGATCAGGCATGCCTTACTTTTCAAACTTACATCCTTGCTTTTGAGTACTTTAAAGAAGTTCTTTTTAAAATATTTAACCATTTTATATATGTTGTTGTTGTTTGATGTCGTCGAGTCATAGACGACTCATAGCGACCCTATGAACGAACAGCCTGAGCACTGTTCGTACACAGAGTTTCCGGAGGCAAGCCATTTCAGAAGTGGATGCCGCTCTTGCCTCCAGGCTTGAGCCAACACTGTCCATGATGGGTACCCATTACCACGATTGGCATATCACTGTCACAGTCTTCAGCATCACAGCAACCATGAGTTACCTCTGTACAGCAACACACAGACCAGTGCTATACCACCTAGAAGAATGTTTGACAGGAAGACAATTTGAACCTGGCCGAGGGCCACAAATGAAAATCACCCACCTTCGGCTTGGTAGCACAGCTTCCTTTCCACTAGGCCAGCGTAGCTCTCTCTTGGTCGTTGTCATTGTTATTGTTGTTTGATGCCGTCAAGTCGTAGATGACTCATAGCGACCCTATGAACGAACAGCCTGAGCACTGTTCATTTTATATATAGGTATATATAAAATATATTTATTGGTTTTCATATAATTTTTTAAATTTTGATTGAGATTTTAAAGTAAGTTTATAGAGAACTTGGATTTCCATTCATTCATTGTTGTACATTTTCCTCCCTACCATCCCCCCATTTCACGTCTCTTTGAAAAAATTTTTTTTATTGTTGCAGTTTCCTCCCCCTCCCCCCATCCACTTTGCTATACAGCTCTTATTCTGTACTGATGTCATATAAATAATACTTAATCATATATTCCTTTTAAACAGTTCTTTCCCTCATCTGTTTCAATAGTGTACAGTTTCCCCCCAACCCCCATGTCAGTCCTGTTTTATAGCAGTGATATTATGCAATATTTGTCCATTTGTGACTGAGATATTTCACTCAGCATAATGTCCTCCAGGGTCACCCATTTTGTATATTTCATTAGTTTCTTATTTTTTCAGTACTGCATAGTATTCCATTGTCTGAATATACCACAGCTTCTCTATCCATTCTTTTGTTGATGGGCAATTGGGTTGTTTCCATATCTTTGCTATTGTGAACAATGCAGCAATAAACATAGGTATGCATTAAAGAAGTTCTTGACAGTAGATTTGCTGATGCAAAATATTTTTTGATTTCTTAACTGAGCTACTATGGATGTTGGCTGTGCATTTAAGTAAAATGAAATATTTTTACAAATTATTATGCTAGTTTATTTACAAAATTTGAATACATTGCTTTTCACACCAGATGCTTCTAATGACCCTCACCCTCCATCAAATTATACAACCTCCTGATTAATATATGCATGAGTGCGCGCGCGCGCGCGCACACACACACACACACACACACACACACACACACAATCTTCATTCCTTTGCTTCCACCCTCCCCACCTCCTTGGATCCTGATATTCATAAAATTAAATCCTTGACAACTTCAATATTTTCCTCACAGTTCAGATAGTTAATGCAAGAAAACATCAAAACTCAATTGTGAGAGCACTCTATACTAAAGATACCATGATGCTGATATTATGTGCCATGGAATCTCCCGTGATTCATAGTGACCCTATGTACAACAGCTTGAAGTCTGTCCTATCCTGAGCCAATCTCACTGACTCTGACAACACCTAACCCGATTACCCCAGTTATTCCATCAATCTCCATCTCATCCAGGCTCTTCCTCTCCTGCACTGTCCTTCCACACTTCTTAGCATGATGTCCTTCTCCATGGACTGGTCCCTCCTGGCCACGTGGCCAATGTATGTTAGATGGAGCTTCAAAATCCTAGCCTCCAAGGAGAAATTCAGTTTTACCCTCTCTATTACTGAGAAGAATCATCTTTTCTGGAGTGTGATAAAAAAAAATGGAAAGAGATGCTAAAGAACAGAGGAAGCAAAAGGAAGAAAGGTCTTCAGGAAGTAGATGGAGACATTGAAAAAGGAAATTAAAGCCAAGGGATTGTTAGTTTTGCAAGTCTCCAGCATGACGTTTGAAGATATTGGAGGCAGTGAAACAACATTAAAGGAAGTCTACAAGATGCTTATCCATACGCATCACCCTGAGGTGTACCAGCACCTGGGCGTCATCGCCACTCACGGAGTTCTCCTTCATGGACTACCAGGCTGTGGGAAGACATTGCTCACAAATGCCATTGCTGGGGAACCTGACTTGCCAATTTTCAAAGTAGCTGCTATGGAGATCGTTTCTGCTGTGTCCGGAGAATCTGAGCAGAAGCTGAGAGGACTCTTTGAACAAGTAGTGGCAATTGCACCTTGCATCTTTTTTACTGATGAAATTGATGCTATTACACCCAAAAGGTAAGTTGCTTCAAAGACATGGAACAGAGCATTGTAGCTTACCTGCATGGATGATATGAACAATATGGCAGCGACAGCTCGTCTCTTAGTCATTGGAGCTACTAACCAACTAGACTTGCTAGACCCTGCCCTGAGACGTGCAGGAAGGTTTGACTGAGAAGTATGCATAGGTATCCCAGACAAAGCAGTCAGGGAAAGAATACTTCAGACTTTATGCAGGACACTGAGACTTCCTGACGCATTTCCTCTTCATCACCTAGCACACCCAACACCAGGCTTTGTTGGTGTTGCTCTCCTGGTGCTTTGCCAGGAGGCAGACCTGTGTACCGTAAGCAGGGCCTTGACGGAGCTGCAGGAGCGAAAGCAGGGAGATCCTAAGACTAGAGGCTTGTTGGCTTCCACTTGGAGATGCCAGGAAGGGGTGGGAATGGAGTGTGCTTCTAAAACACAGGAAGAACTGCAAAGGCTGCTAGAGTTGCTGAGAGAACAGGATCCTCTCTCTGAAGAACTACCACAAGGGCTGCACATTGAGTTGGATGATTTCATTGTTGCTCTAGCCTCAGTTCAGCCTTCTGCCAGAACAGGCGGCTTTGTCACTGTCCCCAGCGTGACGTGGGCTGACACTGGTGCCCTGGAACATGTTAGAGAAGAGCTCACCATGGCAATGTTGGCACCAGTCTGGAATCCAGATCAGCTCAGAGAGCCCTTAGGTTAGTGACTCCAGCTGGGTCCTCCTTGCTGGTCCTGGCTGTGGTAAAATTCTCCTGCCAAAGGCTGTGGCAAATCAATCTGGACTAAGTTTCCTATCTGTGAAGGGTCCTGAATTACTTAAATATGTATGCCGGTGAAATTGAATGTGCTCTGCGACAGGTTTTTCAGAGAGCCAAGAACTCAGTACCTGAGTGATATTCTTCGATGAAGTGGATTCCTTATGCCCTCGACGATCAGACCAAAGTGTCCGCATGGTGAACCAGCTACTCACAGACAGACGGATGGTCTGGAAACACGGCAACAGGTGTTTATTATGGCAGCCACCAACAGGCCAGTTATCATTGACCCAGCAATACTGCGCCCAGGCTGGCTGGATAAAACGCTCTTTGTTGGTTTGCCACCCCCAGAAGATCGCCTGGCCATCTTTAAAACTATCACCAAAAAAACGGTACCAAACCCCCACTGGATGCTGATGATGTAAATTTGGAAGTGACAGCCAGTGATCTCTGCTGTAATTGCTACCCAGGCGTGGACCTCTCTGCTTTGGTGCGAGAGGCTTCACCCAGTGTCCTGAGACAGGAAATGGCCTGGCAGAAGAGCAGAAGGAATGAGAAAGGTGAACTCAAGGTCAGTCTTAAACACTTTGAAGAAGCTTTCAAGAAAGTAAAACTGTCTGTATTCAAAAGGGATGAAGCAATGTATGAAGAACTGCAGCTGTCACTCAGCCTGCGTCTTGAGGGATTTGGAGGAATCCAGGGCACTGTCCTGGTGGAGAAGCCCTCAGATTCAGATCCCAGCTTCACGAAAGCATTTTCTTTTCAGATGAATGACACTCAGCTGAATTGAAGGCCCTTCCAGCCTTCTGTGGAAATCCCTTAACCTCCTTTTTTAGGAAAAGGAAAATGTGTAAGCTTCTGAAATAGAAGAACTGAAAAATTTTTAAAATAAAAAAACAAAAAAAACTGTACTTACAATAATCATAAACTTTAATGGAGGAGAAGCTGTCATCACTTAAAAAACATAATTAAAAAATTATATTTGTTTAAAAAAACTGAAGACTCACATATGAAAACATAGTTTATTTTCTCATTCAGACTCATGTAGTTTATTTTTATAAAATAACGGATAAAATTTTGTTCTTTATAATTATTACAGAATATGTAATACTTATTGAAATATATCTGTATATATATATCACTTAAGTTATAAACACACAGCAAATTCAATGTCACTTAGACAGTAACCATATTTTCCAAATAAGTAGGATTTCATTAGGAGATAAACTGTCTTATCCTGAATATATAAATAGCCACTGATGCTTTATGCCAACCAGTATGTACAAAAGCCAGTTTGCAGATTATCGCCACCTACAAAAGTGACAAGCTTTGGGATACAGTTTTGCTGTCATGCTGCAATAAGATTTAAAATGTGAGGAAGCCAGCAGCCACTAATCAAAGCAGTGCGTTTGCAGTAGGTGGAGCCACCAAGTTGTGATTTTAAGATGCATGTTATGGAAATTCAAAAGACATCCTTTTGAACCTTCAGTTCTCGGTTTCTTTATGGTCCATATATTTGTAATCCAAGCTGGAGTGAGGCTCCCTGATCATCTAATTGTGATAGAGGGAAGTTGCATAGGGACTGTCATCATCTCTGGGGGTAAAAAAAAAAAGAAAGAGAGTATAAGTGAATGTTTTAAAACCACATTACGAAAATGAGTATGTATTATACAACTTAATATCCAATTGGCATAGAAAGACAGGAATGTATCAACTTATTGTGTATATTCCTTGAAAGCTATCTAATATGCAAATATTAAAGTATACCTTAGCATCCCAATAGGTAATACAGAATTTAGAGGAATTAAGTATTGCAGTTTTTAGGCTAACAAGTGATTTGCTTAACTTCTTATTTTTGTTTGCATACTTAAACACATCGCTTCAAATTCTTCTGTTCTTGATTCATGGTGATTGATATCACACATGCAAACCAAACAGTTCCACAGAACACTGAAGGCTGAGATCTTTCCGAAGTGCATCACCAGGCCTGTCTCTACGGCCTCTCTGAGGGGCTTTAACTGCCAAATTTTAGGCTGGATGTTGAATACGTGACATTTGTATCACTCAAACCACAAACCCACTGCCTTCAAGTTGATTTTTACTCATAGTGACTCTATAGGATGGAGAACCAACTACCCCAAGGGTTCCTGAGGCTGGAAACTTTAGAGACGCAGATTGCCTCATTCTTCTGTGGAATTCGAACTGCCAACCCTTGATAAGCAGTGAAATGCTTTAACCCCTAAAGCACCACGGTTCAGGGAAATGTCATTAAATTATAGATTATTGTTGTTGCTTGCTGTCAAGTCAGAATAGCTGGCCCTCCAAAAGATTTCAAGAGGTGGTAAATCGCATGGGAGGAGAAATCCTACACTTTTCCCCAAAAGATTAGAAGTATGTAAAATAAAGAGCACACACATAAAATGAGTAATAGATAAAAAACTAGGATTGAACAATGGAGAAGGATACAAATATATGAATTAGAAGCAGTCTTAGAGTAGTTGATCCTGAGCATTCATTTTGGCTTCAAATTTCTTGGTAGTCTGGGCAAACACACCAAGTTAGAGTATTTCATTAATAAAAGTTTGCTTTTTTGCTTTAAAAGCATAACTTTTCAGATAATAATGCCAGGTATTAGCCAAGAAGAGACATCTAGTTGATGCTTTCCAAGGAAACAGTGCCATAAGGACTACTTAGAAAGTACTGTACTGATTCATACAAAATTTGCTAAAAGTACTGTCCGTTCTTTATGTTATGTTTTTATGTATATCCTATATAAGATCTAATGTGAGCTTGCTTTGGGCTTTTGAGGGTTCCCCCTCTTTTTTTCTTTAAAAAAATGTAGTACTAAGGCAAACCTTTCTCCTTTAGAATTGATTTTATGCTTTCAAGAGTGGCACAACTTGGTAGGCATAAGATGGTAGTTCTATGCAGACATCACATGTTAAAAATGCCTTTCTAAAATTAAAAAATCATTTTCAGTGAAAAGAAGATGACTTGGCCTAGCAAAGGCACTTTGAGAAATAATTTATTCAGCCTCTGATATCTTCACGAGGGTATTTTTACCTGCTTTCTTCTTTCAGTTTCTTGGCTGCCTGCGTTGATAACTTAATCTGCAAGTCTAGTCTCTGCAGGAAGTCTCTGGCTGACACTTCTTCAGGCTGCTCAGGCTGCACGTCAGCCTCCTGAGGACCAGGAGGAGAGAGGTCGTCCTCAGCCACCACCGGCTCTTCAGGGGAACAACTGCTGTCAACAGTTTCATTTTCTGGAGAATCAACTGAATTAAGTCCATTAAACAACAAAGGCTTCTCTGATATAATTGGGATGTTCAAAGTCTTCTTCAAGAATATGCAATCATTGGTAAACAGTTTATTTGCTCTTTTTATCAGCTCCATCTAAAATTTAAAAAAAAGGAAACATCAAGTTACATATAACTAAATCCAACAGTAGGGTTTATTTCAATACAGAACTAAATATATTCAAGAACAAAATGTGCTGAATGTCTTCTCCAGGTTTGAGAGTTTTATATTCAGGTTTTGTCACCTCCCCAGGTGCCTCCTGTTATTTCAAGAAATATTAGGAAATTCTGCTCCCCAAGTTAAATGAAAGCCTAATTTTTATCCCCATTATATTGTTTTCCATAAAATGCAGCTTTAATTTACATAAAAGGCAGCTTTTATTTGTTGTTAGTTTCCATCAAGTTAAATAGTCAGCCTTAAATCCCTGAATTTTAAACATGGAGATTTTTTAACACTTATAATGCCATTCCTATTCAAATAGATCTATTATCTGTTTTTTTTTAAAAAACAACTTACTATCATTGCTATTTCACATACAAAGTCCTTCCTGGCTATCTAAAATTTACATGGTGAATATAATGGATATGGGATGTGGTACATAATTTGGAAGCATGAGACTGGGGCTACAGTCATGAAGAAAGGCCTTAGAGAGAGATGGTAGAATTAGACTTTTAATCTTTTGACTACAGATGGACCTAGAAGAATGAGTAGATGTGGAACAGGCAAGGAAAGTGGGTAGAGATATCATATAAGAGGAGGGAGCTCTGACAGCACAGTCCGTGGAGAGAAGTGCTCCTAACCTAAAGGCAGCTGGTTTGAATCCACCAGCGACTCTGTGGGACGAAGATGGACAGCCTCTTCTTGTGTGACTTACAGCCTCTGAAAACCAGTCAGAGAGGGTCAGCTATGAGTTGGTTCCAACTCAATGGCAACAAGAGAGGGAGAGAAAGAGGGGAGGGAAAGGAAGAGGAGAGAGGGAGGGAAAGACGAAGAGAGAGAGAGGAGACAGATATGTATGCACAGCCATCCTTTACATAAGTGTATATATACATTATCATTGAATCCTTACAACAACCCTGTGAAGGGTAGATAATATCTGTTTTACTCATAAAGAAGTAGGCTCAATGAGATTAAATAACATGCTTATGATCAGTTTATGTTGATGGAACTGGGACTTGAGCCAGGCATGTGCACTTAGCATAGAATAACAACACCACCACCACACATCGATGCAGCAGTTAAAATCAAACAAGGTGTGGCACTGAGCCAATCTGCTGCCAAGGACCTCTTGAAAATGCTAAGAAAAATTATACTCATTTAGACCCTGAATGTCTGACTCAAGTCACAGATTTTCAACTGCCTTATATACTTGGAAAGGTGGAGGGTCACTGCAGGAGGGGAAGACACTCAGTGAGATGGGTTGACACAGTGACTGCTACAACGGGCTCAAGTGTGTCAGAGATGGTGAGGAAGGCACAGAAAAGGACCGGGTTCAGAGCTGCTGTTCACAGGGCTGCTATGAGTCATACTCAAAGGCACGTAACAACAACATACACTTGTGAAAGCTGAACAATGAATGAATAAGGAAAACTAAAGAACAAACACTGCATTTGAATTACAGTGCTGGTGAAGAATATTGAATATATTATGGACTGCCACGTAAAATGATCAAATCTGTCTCTGAAGAAGTGTAGCCAGAATGCGTCTTAACAGTGAGGACGGAAGGTTAGATAATACCTGTTTTAATTAATTTTATAAAATATAATGAATGGGAGTGATTGTATGAGACAAAATGTGACTGAAGGATAGTGTGAAACACAATGTATACGAACTTTGTTAGCAAACCAATTGTTGTCATTGTTATGTGCTGTCGAGTTGCTTGCGATTCATACTGACCCTATGTACAACAGCCCTAACTCTGCTCTGTCCTGTGCCAATCATACTGTCTCTGACACACCCATCCCGATTACCCCAGTCACTGAATCAATCTACCTCATAGAGCGTCTTCCCCTCCTGCGCTGTCCCTCCACCCTCCCAAGCATTATGTCCTTACTATGCAGCACTAAGCAACAATAATGTAAAATATTATATAACAAGGGAGAGTCTGGAGAGCATTATGCTGAGTGAACTAACTCGGTCTCAGGAGGACAAATAATTCACAAACCCATTAAGGCAAAAATAGAAGGATAATGAGTAAAATGTGTACAACAAATGTCCAAAACGTGAAAGAAAAAGGGGGAAGGCAGCAGAAAAAGAGGAACAAGGGTGGAAATCACTAGTTTGGCAGAGTTTAGTGGACAGACTGGGGTAAGGAATGAAGGAATAGGAAAGATTCAATGAGGATCTGAAAAGATGGAGTAATAATAGGCATGGATCAACAGTAATTAATGTATATGAATGATTGTATAAAACATTAAAGATTCGCTTCACCGAAGACAAAATTCAGATGGCTAACAAGCACATGAAGAAATGCTCAAAATCCCTAGCTCTAAGAGAGATGCAAATTAAAACAGCTATGAGGTATCATCTCACCCCAGTCAAAATAGCAAAATTTAACAGAACAGCAAGCAACAAATGCTGGCGAGGTTGTGGAGAAACTGGAACCCTGACTCACTGTTGGTGGGAGTGTAAAATGGTGCAACCACTGTGGAAAGCAGTATGGCGCTTTCTCAAAAAGTTGCAAATAGAGATACCATTTGACCCAGCAATTCCACTACTGGGAATATACCCAGAAGAGACCATAACTGTCATCCAAGCAGATATATGCACACCCATGTTTATTGCAGCTTTGTTCACAATAGCAAGGAGTTGGAAACAACCTAAGTGCTCATCAACAAATGAATGGCTAGAGAAGCTGTGGTATATTCGCACAATGGAATACTATGCTGCATTAAAAAACAAGGAACTCATGCAATATTATTCAAAATGGTTGACTCTGGAGAACATTATGCTGAGTAAAATACCCCAGTCACAAAAGGACAAATATTGCATGGTGCCACTGTTGTAGAACGGGAATGATCTTGGGGTTGGGGAGAGACTGAGTAAGATGGGCTCAATAATGTATACTGCACTGAAACAGAGGAGGGAGAAAACTGTTTAAAAGAGATATGTGATTAGGTATTTCTGTCATGACAGGAGTCTAGAGCGATGGCTACATGGTGGAGTGGACCTGGGGGAGGGTTTGTAAAACAATGAAAGAATCTTTTCTTTTACTTTTCCAAGAGGGTAGTGTTCTGGGGTGGGGGGGGGTAGCCTTGGGAGGGAACAAATCTACAACAATGAATGAATGGAAAAAAAACCCACAAAAAAACATTAAAGATTGTCTAAAACAATGTATATGAATGAAACACAACATAAACAACATATTGCATCCGAAGCAATTAAAAATGTTAAATTAAAAAGGTGAAGATGATGAGACTTTGTCTCACATACATCGAACACGTTAACAGGAGGGATCAGTCCCTAGAGGAAGTAGTTCATCGGTGAAAAGGAAAGCTCTCAATGAGATGGACTATCTCATGGGTAGATATAGCAAAGGGCTCAGACATAGCAACAACTGGGAAGGTGGTACAGAACCAGGCAACACTTGGTTCTGTTGTCCAAAGAGTCACTATGAGTCAGAACTAACTTGCTCAAAAAACTCAAACTTACTGTGGTCAGGTAGGAAATGATTCATAACTGACTGATCCTCCAGCAGGTTTCCAGAGCTCTAAACAGCATGACAGGATATTGCCCATCTTTCTCCCTCAGAGCAGTCGGTGGGTGTGAACCGCAGGCCTTTGTGTTGGCAGCACAACTCTCTATTCACTAGGCCACCAACTAATCACAATTCTTGGTTTCAAATATCATTCATACATACAGCATTTCACTCTTTTTACTGTGTGGAGTGAGTATCTATAGCTTCACTCTATAAATAAAATCAGCAAATCTCATAGAGATGATGTAACATGGAATTTTTATTCAACTAACAAATGAAGAAGCTAGAATTTCTAACAAGTTTCTTTCTATAACCTTTACCTCTCTCATAGAAGGTGAGACAAAAGAGGAAATGGAATTTATAGATATAATTTAACTTCTGCAAAATATTTTACAACTTAAAAATTATCATCTCCTGTTTGAAAATTAGGAGATTTGAGAATAAAGTATACAGTGGGAAGTGCAGTCGGCATTATTGGTTCCAATTCAGTGGCAGAATATCCACTTCTGTATTGTAATAGTTTCACCTGGCTAATCTGCACTTTAAAAAATTATCTCTATGTGTAGTATGCTAAGTGAAGTAACTCAGTTCCATAAGGACAAATACTGTATAAAATCAATACTGTGGAAACAGCAAGATAGCTAGTAAAATGTGTATGAGGATCTGGGGGTGGGGAGGGTAGGAGCAGTGGGATGGGGATGGACAGGGGGGTAATCATAAAACCAGACAATCTGATGGGTAGAGGGCTGAATAGGTAAAGGAAATGGGAAAGATCCCGTGTAAAAAACAATGTATACGAAAAAACCCACAATGTATACGAACTTTGTATGTAAACCAGTATAAAATACAAAACTTATTTAAAAAAAATTCTCCATATCTCAGTCCTTAGAAAGATACTGAGCAAATCCTTTTAAACTTACTGAAATAAGGGGGAAAGATAAAAAAGGGTTGACACTATACTACTGATTATATAGTAGCCACTAAGAGAGGCCCTTTTCATTTAAAAACAGTTTCTTTCTGTAACCTCAAAACCTTTCAGAGTCTGTGGACATTTCCTACAAACCACAGAAATGGGGAAGTGAGGAGGGGTATTCTAATCATTACAACTTTTCTTTTGCAGACAGTTCAGCACAACCACCAAGCACACAGGCTAGATCATCAAGTCCCAGTTATACCAATCTGTACTGTTTGAAAATGAGCAGGTTCTTGAATCTCTCTATGCCTGTTTCTTCAGGAGTTAAACACATTACCTACATCTCATAGGGTAATTTAAAAGACTAAAGGAGAGTTTTTATGCACAATCACATAGATGCGTGTGCATATAAAAGGGAGAACACAGAGAAGTGCCTGGGAATAGAGGATTGGTACTATGCTCTATTTTCTGATGCTGCTGACAAGG